CTTCCCCAGGGCGAGGGCCGGGCCGCGGGCGCCACCTACCGGTCGGCCGCAACGCTGCTCCCGGGAAACGAGGGCCGCCCTTCCTGCTGTAGCTGAAGGTCGCCTGGGCAAATCAGTTACTTGTTTAAATTCCTGTTAAAAATGAAGAAACGTGCGAATCTCAGGAAAGGCTGTTGGAAGCACACTTCTTACTCTTGTATTATTCTCACCTTAGAAATACTTGGTCTTTTCAAGAATGTCCTGGTTTTCTCCTCAATAAGTAAAATGCTTATTAATAAATAGTGCAAAAATGTAAAGCCGAATCGAGAATCTAGATGTTATCATGTTCATCTCTCGTGTTATCTTTCAAGACCCCAAAACATTAGATAGGGAGAGGGCCAGAACCTAGGCTCTAGGCCCGACTTTATGCTCTTGCCATTGCAAATTAAAAGCTACTCGTTCTTAAAATCATGTTTCTGTCATGGAATAAATACTGTGGACAGAGCTGTAGCTGGGTCAGAGCAGGGTTGGTGAAGAGGAATAGTCCGACTGTGACTCCTTAAAGTGAGTCCTTTCTTTACACATGGCCTTTCCCTCCTTAATACTTGTCTCTGTTGACGTTGTGGTAGTGAGATTTTAATGAAAAAGACAAATTACCTTGCCTTTTGTGTTCCTAAGCCTTTTTAAGTGAGGGCCATTTAAAAGTATTTCCTTCAGATCCTCAATTTTGAAGATCCTGTCCAATAAATCAGGTACCTTTATTAAATATTCTCTTTTTTATTAATTAGAATCATAGCTGCCCACCAAAGCTTCTGCACTATACAGAACTACTGTTCAAACTTAAATTGTCTTTGGTCCAGATAAAATGGCATCCTATCATGCATAATCTCATCATTTCTCAAAATACAGACTGTGGTCTTGTCTCTATGTCTGGAGTTGGAGGAGCCTCTGTTGAGAAGGTGGCCAGAGTCTCCATCTGTGTGACTGATTGTCCCTTCATTCACGAAGCTGACTTCCTTTAGTGAATAGGCGTGACTGTAAAATCTGGGGTCAGGTACTACAGAGGGCGCCTGAGGGTTTGTTCTTATCCTCCCTAGCCTACTTAGCCCCGAAGTCATGCTGAACCAGCAGAATGAAGAGGAAATATCTTGCCGGAGGGGACTGTGATCTCACAGTAACTCAGCTGCTCTCCACATGTGTGAGAGCGTTGTCACAAAAGAGACTAGGCCTGGGAAGCTTATACCAATTTCCTTATTATCAACTATTTTTTAAAGTTCTATTACTTTGACTCAGCATTTCAGATTTGCAAGAGTAAGATTAGAAGAGAAGAAAAATGAACAGAGGAAAAATGCTACTTGGAAAACGGTGGTATTGTCCAACATTTCATTCAGTGAATGGCTTTGTGTCGGCGGTAACTAGCAGGTGCTTGAAATAAAATTTAACACAGTGTTCTCTTTGATCCCTAGATTCTTGAAGTGAAAAGTCCAATAAAGCAAAGCAAATCAGATAAGCAAATAAAGAATGGTGAATGCGACAAGGTAAATTTCCAGTCCGTTACTGTGAATGCTGCATCAGTGACAGGGCTTCTTTGTTTCTTTGAGTTTCCCTTGATCACTCTTGCTGGGTCTCCCTCCATCTTCTTTATCAACAATGCCCAAGTTCCTAAGTGATGAGTACTTCATCCTTGGGGTTTGTAGTTTGTTGTCCTTGTCTTGCTTCAGTATTAAGGCTGGCCATGATGTGCTGCCGTCTGCCCTGATACCTACAGTGCCAAGGGTTTTGAGGGACAGTGAGTGAGGAGGTAAGATTGTGGTAGAGGTGTAGCAAGATGTCTGAGCCCCGTGTGATAGGCTTTACGGTGTGTGTGTCGTGCACCTGCAGTTGACTGCACGGCCTGGTGGGGTTGAAATCATCCGGTATGGGCAGGGCAGAGTTCTCATGCTTCACAAATTCTCCCCTTGCCTTAACTGAAAATGGTTCTAGGGGTTTCCCCCACGGTTATGCTAACAAAGACTCAAGAGTCTGCGCATAGGGAAAGAGGTGTCCCTCTGCCCTTTCAGGGAGGTATCCACACATCAGGTGTTGATTTGGATAGTGAGTTTTGTTTCTCATATGGCATTATTTATTCTTTGGTCACTTGCTGGCAGTGTTTACTAGCAGTGCTTGGTATGACTGGGAAGCCCCCCACCCCCTTAAGAATCAGCCCTGTCATAATTGGTGATACACAGTGATGCTTCCACTTTAAACTTAGTTTTTTTTTCTTAATCAAAAACCTTCTGAGATCGAAGAATTAAAAAATGAAAGTAGCCTGTGGTAACTTGTTAAACTCACACTTCAGCACTGAAATTCCCCCGAACCTTGGAGAGCCTTGTTGTGGGACGGTGAGTCATGTTCTCAGATTTGCTCAGAGCAGACAGGTGCGGGAACCGCCCTCCCTCCCCACCTTACAGCTGGCTCACCAAGTCCCAGCCCAGAGAGACTTGGTTGGTAGAGGCCTTTCAACACTGCTTGCATGCAGCTGAGCTAGAGGGGTAGCATGCACACCCTCTGGCTCCTGCTTACATGTTTGTGCTTATTTTCAACTGCTGCTTAAAGTGCTTGTTTTTTGTGGGTATTGTTCTCTTTCAGGCATACTTAGACGAGCTGGTAGAGCTTCACAGAAGGTTAATGACGCTACGGGAAAGACACATTCTGCAACAGGTGAGCAGTTCTTTGAGCACAGCTTGTCCTGGAAACCTGAAGGCCTCGTCTGTCCTGGGGTGTGTCATGGTAGCACTTCGAGGTCATGCAGTCCCTGTGATTGCAATGGGGCTCATGCCACCTGCAGAAATATTTGGGGAGGATTCTCATGCTGAGGCTGCCCAGAAGAATACTTTGGAGCTCTGTGGTGATTGTCTCCCTCCCCCAGCACTGCAGGCAGTGAAGTCTGAGCGCCACTGGAGGCCATGCTAGAGCCAGCAATCCCCTGCCTCTGATGTGGTAATGCAGGTGGAGGGAGGGAAGGGTAGGAAGCAGAAACCGTGGGGACCAAGCTTCTGGTTTCATGAGAAAACAGTGATAAGAATTTGAGTCAAGTGCTGTAAACATTAGTGATTCAATTAAATAACCTTTTGCCAATGCTATTCTGAGGAAAATAAATATTTTCTTCATTTCCCTTATCTTGTACAACGTGCATTCTATTATTATGAACTCAACTGTGGAATGCTTGTAGAGTGAGGAGACTACTATTAGTATAATGTGATGTTTTGCAAAGATAAGGGTGGTTTTTAGTTTCTGTGCAGTTACAGTACGTGCCTTTATTGCATTAACAGTGGCTGTTGATAAAACTATTTTTCACTAACATCCAAGACAGCTGTGTGTTCCAAATTCCAGAGCAGCTTTGGAGAAAGTTTCACTTTTTGAATTTTATTACTTTCAAATGACTTGAAATTAGTATTTAATCTACCCCAGCTGTGGGAATCATTTTTTAAATGTTCGATGGCTGATGGTCACATTTGTATTCTTGGTACATTTTTGCCTAAATCTGGAAATACACACTCTCAAACTTGCCAGGCTTCCAGTTAGGGCTGGTAAGTTCTTGACCCTTCTAGAATTTTAGTTTTGAACAAAAGCCTTTGACTATAGACCTGTGATCTGTAATGGTGGAGGAGTTGTGTGGCTCATAGTTCCGTTTGAGTGAACACAGGTGTGGGAGAGATTTTTGCGTAACTTTGCCTCAGTCCAAGCTCATGTTTTGCTGGTAGAGTTATCTCCTGGCGCCCACAGAGCCCTGGGGCTCAGCTTCGCGGGCTCCTCGCGGGTGACCAGTTCCACGATGCTCAGCCTCCTTAGAAGGTGGCATAGGATTTGCATATAACCTACATTGAGCCTCCCATTCTTTAAATCTTTAGGTCACTTATACCTAATGCACTGTACATCTTTGTAGATCACTGTTAGATTTTATTATTTAGTATGTGCCTTTACTGACAGAAATGACAAGAAAAACATCTACATGTTTAGTCTAGCCCGAGTTTCCCCAATTATTTTTAAGCAGTAATTGGTTAAATCTGAGTATACAGACCCTGCAGATAGAAAAGAACAACCACATATTTTTTCAGCTTTTAAAGAACCCAAAATTATCCTGCCTGCCAATCACCAGTTATTCAGGGCTAATTGAAGGCTGATGGTGATTCTATTAGCTGATCTTCCTACCCCTTCCCAAACACCAGCCCTGAACCACCAGGGAACAATTGCCCAATAGAGCCATTAATGTCTAGGCTGAGCCTAAGTTGTGAGCATCACAGGAGGGTGAGGCCGATGTTTGTGCAGAGTTGGAACAACTTCACAACAAAGACAGAGCCAGTGTCACGGAGAGTGGGACACTGAGCAGGGTCTTACCTTGGGGGTATCATCAGCAATTTAATATTGTGCTTTATATTGACGTTTGAAAAAACTGTGGGGGAAGGTGGCTTACTTGAGAATTCCATCCAAGTGGATTATTTTAGTATTCTAGAGGGAGAGAGTAATATCTATGAATTTTTAACCTGGTGTAAAGGCACTCCAGGGCACACAGCATCTCACCCTAATTGCATTCCCAGGCCGCTAGAAAGCTCTCAGTCTTTGGCTGTTTGCCTTGCAGTGCAGCTGAGGCTTGTGATTATGATACCATGATGCATATCCTGTCGTGGTTTACTGCTTAATTAATTCCCATTGTAAAACAGCACTATTGAGGACGAATGTTATTCTCTACCTCGAGGACTGCTCCTCTCACGGAAAGCATTCCACAACATCGATATCTCCGCCTTGCAGACTTGAACACTGGAAGCAAAATGCCTGGTGGGCCAGGGATGGCTTCCTTGATTTTTTTGGTTAAATGCATCACGAAAAGTAGTTAGCAGCGTTGTTTTACTCTGGAGGCGTTTTTTCCTGGCACTCAGCATCTAGTTGGATGAACGGAAGGCTGTGGCTCAGGAGAGCCTGAGCTTCAGAGGCACGTTTCGTAGTGAGTGGGAAACATGCAGTGCCTGGGACGGATGAACAGTGTGACTCCACCTGTTCTGCATTGCTTCTGAAGTGAGGTCGAGGGTTTCTGACCTCCCTAGCAGGGAGCCTGGATCTACATCCTAGTCTGGAAGAAGAAGAATGCTGAGGAGAAATTAGGGCTGCTTTAGACAACTGCGTGGCGGTTCTTTTAGAATTCTCTTTGGGGATTGAGGATTGAGTACCATGTCAGAGTACCTCTCCTAGACAACTGAGCCTGCCTGGTCCGGTACCTGCTGAAACAGCTTCCTCTCTCCCGGAATCGCCCATCGTGCCCTGGCGCCCTGAGCGTCAGTGCCTGCGGCTGCCCTCACCCAGCAGAGGCCCGAGTCCGCATGTGGGGGATGAGGCTGGCTCCGCTCTACAGAGAAGCAGTTCGAGTAGAGCTCGTGCAAGACCTCTTACTCAGTAAAGAGGTAGCCTTGGATGGAAAGAACCCTTTTAAAATATAGTCAGACTAAAAGTAGTGTGTCTACCTTTTTATAACTAGAAATCGGGGTTGAGGGAAGGAGCTGCACATTAACAAGTGGATCTTCCTTGTTTAAAATAAAACAACCCATATCCTGTGCAGGTCCCTTTAAAAGGCTGATGTGGCAGGAAATAATCCATCCTGCATGTTTCCAGGGCAGCTGTCGTCTGAAGGATGACTGCAGAGTGTGTGCATTCTTCCCTTCCCACTACTCGTGTGTACCCTGTGCCCTTGTGTGCTTTATGTTACGTTAGATACATTATCAAACAGTTGGCTGTGTCGAAGAACAGAACTAACAGTTTATTGTAAAGATCCTACCTGGCTCTGTTCTGTAATTCTCAATCATGCAGCTCTTCATTCCATAAAATAGAATGTTCTTGATAGGCTACATAGAAGAGCTTTGTTTCATATGCAAAGAGAGCTGAGAAAACAAAAACCGGAAACAGAACAAAAAGGCTGGTGACTTCAAGAGTTCGTTTCCACAGGGAGGCAAAACAATAAAAAAGTAAGTGATTGGTTACCACCTGGTTACTTCTGGTTACTTTTTATGAGAATTCCAGGATATAAAAATCAGAGCAGAGGGAAGTTCGTTGTCACTTTAGGATCTTTTCATCTGTAGTAGCTCTGTCTTTTGCTATTTCTGATGGGCACCGGGACTGACAGTGCCCCAGGTGAGCCATACTGCATCAGCAGAGAGGGTTTTCCTGTGGGAGGCACAGTGAGGACGTTTTCATGCCTCATGGCCAGTGTCATTGGAATAAAGTGTGTTTATGCTGTGCTCTGATATCCCGGCTATCAGCAGCCCTGGAAGGAAATGTGAGTTCATTTTTCCTTTTGGCGCTTTCCCTTAATTAAGGGCACGGGTACTTGCTTTCGTAATTCAAATCATGACTGCTGCTCCCTTTAGCAAACAGTCCCGAGCGCCCCGATCAGTGACACCACTACTGCTTCAAGACCCCCTCTCCGTCTACCTCGATGTATTCTTTCAGATCCTCGGAAAAACTCAGGGTTACTTGGTTAGATTTTCCAGGTCACTCCTGCATCTCCATGCATCTGTGGCTGCAGGAAGGGCGGGCCTGCTGCTGGTGGAGGGAGCAGGAGGCTGGCTGGACGCCCTGGAAACCTACAAGATGTTGCTGTGAGACAAGGTGGCTGGGTTGGATTTCCTTGTGGGCAGACGTGTTTATTTGCTTTAAAATTAAGTGGCTTTTTTCTAGAAAGAGCTTTTATTGCCCAGCTTCTATTTATTGTTAAGTAATTACTGAGCAGCTATATTGAGCCATAGAAAGTTATTTTCTTAAAAGGCTAGGTTCCCTGTCATTTTAGGAAAGTGGAGTGCTCTGTGTTTGTTACCTCCTCATTTCAGCTGCTCACCTTCATCTCTTCTGCCCTTCTCTCTGAAAAATTTTGTTATAATTATTAAAAACAGCCCTCTACTTGGCATTTTTTGTGTTGTGTAAATTTGAAATTATAGTATCTCTGAAGAAGGTATTTGTTTCTATTCTGTAATTTACAGTTTTTTACTAGGTCCACAGCATTTATGCATAATGTGGCAAAAAAGAAAATTGACTCAGGAAAGTAGTATAAATTCAGTCAATGTTAAATAATATATATGTGATTGCCTTGAAAGGAGTGTATGTGTGGACATAGTTGCATGTTTGCACTTAAGAATTATTTGGTGATTTATCCAAAAATTTAAAGCTATAAGCTAATAAAAACAAATGAATGGGGGCTGGGGATTTAGCTCAGTGGTTCTGCTGCCTGCCTTGCAAGTGCAAGGGCCCAAGTTTGATCCCTGGTACCAAAAAACAAAAACAAACAAACAAACAAAACAAATGAGTGCCCATTGTAAGACTTGTGTTAATGGTACGGTTTTGTTTGCTGCGTTCCTACATGAATGAGATACTTTACCTGTAACTGGGTGTGTCCCTTCTAGCACCTTCTAGCAATCCCTTGCTGCAAGCATTAGAACCCTGAGTGCAGCTGTTTAGGCCACTAGGACTCCCCTTTCCTTTCCTCTTCAGCATATAATAACAGGCCTGGAGGTGGGCGATCTGTGGTCAGTTTGGTGGCTTAAAAGATGCTCCCAAGGCCACGGTCACGTCCTGCTCTGCCATCTTCCCTGTGCTACGTCAGTCTTGACAGGAACGTGGCTGCTGCCCTTCTAGGGTTGCGTATTCACCACAGGCAGAAGGGCAGAGGCAAGAGGCAGGTGCTCACTGTCCATCACCTTTCCAGCAGTTCTGAAGGCCCAGGGATTAATAGCAATGTGTGCCGACAAGTGGGTGTGAGGGGGCAGGCTTTGCAGCCGAGCATGTTGCCTCTCCCAGAAAGTCAGGCTTCTGTTGGCAAGAAGAAAGGATAAATGGGTATTAGGTCATCAGTTTGCAGTGTCTGTCATGGTTCTGCAACTGGACTGACTTGTTTCATTATTAAAGCCATAGTTGTATCTGAAAAGTAATTGGATAAGGCGGTAACAGCTCAATCTGGAGTTTCACAATTGGAGTAAGACTCTCTATGTATTTTGTGCGTCTGTGGAAGTAAAAAAATACATGGAGATTGGAAAGCATATTTTTCCTAAAGAGCTGCTGGCCCATAGGCAGCAGTGCAGATGTGTTAAGGAAAACGAATCATCACAGGAGAAAATTAAAAGCTTCGATTCTTCTGTTTTTTAACATGGCATTAAATAATCATTAACTATAGGCTAAATAATTAAAATTACTTTTGTATATTGAAACTAAAGAGATTAAAAGCTATAACAGGGGAAAATAAGAAGTGGAAATTTGCGAAGTGTCCACGCTGTGCAGACGTTCTTCTCTCGTCCTGGTGCTGATCCCCCCCAGCTCGCTCACGTCCCCTGCGCCCTTCTGTGCCCACACACACCGACAAGGTCTCACCCTGCCAAGCATAGTGTCCATCTGTGGTGAGATTGTTAGTGACAGAGCAATGGAAAGACACGTTGTGCAGTGAAAAAGTCTGTCCAACCAGTAACTATCGTCTTCACATTGAAATTTCAAATGGGTTCTCCCGAAGGCCAAGCAGAGGACAGGACCTGTCGCCGTTTGTCCCTTTGCTGTAGGCTGAGCCCAGTGCATTAAGAAGTGAAGTTTAACCGTTCCAAATGAGGAGACACAGATGTCTCTTCTTTTTCTACATAAAATGTAGCTCCCCACAATACCCTAGAGAATCAAAACGGCATTAAGTGTCTAAAGCCATCGTAGTGAGCACAGTACTCAGTATCGGGTAAATGTCCGTATTCACTTGGTGGGAGTTTAACAAAGTACACAGCTGGTGAATTCTCACAAAGTGAAGGTGGCTTCTGTAGCAGCAGAGTGAATGGCCCTGGTGTCCCACAGCTGCCTCCAGCCCATCAGTTGTGTGCACGTCTGCAGGAGGGTTAGAGATGGTTTCTGCGTAATCTGCGTGTTTTTCTGCATTCTAGATTTTCCCTAATTACCTAATCAGAAAGATGATTTTGTTGGTATACTCGTGTTCTTTTTTAAGAGGAGTTTTGTTTTTCCTGTGCCGGTACTTTACATCTGTCAAATATAGTCACTGTCTGTTGGCTCAGTCACTACCCCCCAACCACCTAAGTAAAATACTCTGCTGATGACTTGAAAGCAAAAAGTTTGCAAAAGGGAGCGGGGAGGACTAAGAGATGAGGAAGGAGAGGAGGGAAGGAGATGGGTATGAAAGTAATTACGGAGTGGTATGAACTCGTACCAGTTCCCTACGGTGAGCGTATTCACTGTGTACTATAAATATGCGCTAATTTAAAAATAAGAACGTTAAGAAAGCCTGAAGAAGTTTATAGGGTATGTAAGTGGGACTGGTGAGTGGTTCTCTTTGCGAGTTTTCGAGGCCTTCCCTTTGACTTGCCAGTTGGCTCAGAGGCAGTTTGGTGCATTGACATTGTAGGACCCTCTTGCTATAAGTAGTATTTGTCACTTGGTTCCACATTTGACCGCCTTCATCTCTCTTTGCCTTTTGCTGCCTATTGCTTATTGCCCAAACTTTCTCCTTTACTCCTTCAGATTGTGAACCTTATAGAAGAAACTGGACACTTTCATATCACAAACACAACATTTGATTTCGATCTTTGCTCACTGGACAAAACTACAGTCCGTAAACTACAGAGTTACCTGGAAACATCTGGAACATCCTGAGGACACAACAACTGGATGCATCAAAAACTATTGTCTTTTGTGGGGTTTTTTTTTTTTTTTGGTTGTGATTTTTTTGTTGTTTATATGAAAACACTCAGAATGATGCAACCAAAAGGGAAAAAGTAAAAATCAAACAACTTTCAGCTTTATTTTTCTTCAAAGCCAGTCATCATCTCTGGATAAAGGAGGAGAGGGTAAGCAAACCAGCCTCAGCGGACCACTCTTCTCTCCAAGGAAATCCCAGGAAGAATTAGCCTGGATAGCCTTGAAAACAAGCAAAGCAAACCCAAGAACACTGAGAGAATGTGTATGGTGTCGTGTGTCTCTCTCTGTGGTGGTTCATTCCACAGGACGGATGCATATCCAACACACTGCCTTATTACGTAACTGATCTATTTATTACTGCGTACAGATATGCTAAAGTCTTGGAGGGCATGACACCGCCAGATGTCACGACACGTGGTCCCGTGGATGCTGTATCAGTGCAGCGCTCTCGCCGTCCCAAGCCCAGCGACCTTACTCTACACCGTGCCACTCTGCGCCACCTTCTTTCGAGTCCTTTAACGTGTTCAGTCTGTATTTTCCACCGTCTGTTTTTCCAGGTCCAGGACACAGATTATCAATTGGGAGGGGGGACCAAATAGCCAACTTGATTTTCTTCTTTTTTGTGGTCTTTTTCTCCTGAAAGTTGGGGCTCAGTCCTTGGCTGTATCCATGTAATGATCTTGGACCATGGTAGAAAATGCACCAAATAGGATCATATGACTTGCTGTCTAGCCTTAGTCAATAAACCTGTAGGACTTTTAACAAAAGTGTATCTGTAAATGTCCTGAGTCCAGCATTGTTAAGCTGTCATTAACATTCTTTTGTCTGTTTTACTGTTACAATACTAGGTAAATAAGGAAGTAAAAGCATTCCACAGGATCATTTTAAAAAAGGAACTCAAGTCCTATTTTCTAAAGAAAGTAGAAATTAATTCAGATCTATTTATTAAGAAGAGTTTCTGATCTCTGCAGCTGCCAGTGTGGGACTCGTCTTTACCTTCAAACCAGGAACCAGAAGTTTTTGTTTATTTGAATACGATTCTCTTAAACGCTTTTGTATTCAAAAAATTAAAACCCTCCTTTGGGGATAGTTCTTGGTTATTCTGCCATCACAGACTGTGTATTAACTTGTAGATTCAGTGGTTCGGTACCTGTTAGACACTTGCTAGGGTTTCCTGTATTGTGAAAGTGAAGAAGACTGGGGAGGGAGGACTGTTTCTGTTCTTATCGTACCCTTGTTCTGACACTAGAAATCTGTCCTGTGGCATGCAAAACAAAGCAGATTATTTTTAAAAGAAAAAGATAACCAAAGTACTTTTGGTGTCATTATTGTACCCTCTCCATTCAAGGAGAAGTGAAATGAAAAGTGAAAACCGCTGTTTTCCAAGTTTTTCTAGGACTCAACTGGAAAGAAAAGAAAAGAAGAAACACTTCTGGATCCAAATGCCCTTCACTGGATCGGCCTTAACGTCTCTAAGACCATTGGCCAGCATCTCCCTCGAGGGTTCCATGCCAGATGCTGGCCCTTCACTTAGAGATTAACTAGTGTCTGTGCAGAAAGCCGTCTTTCCAGACCCATTCTCTGTGGTAGTAATGTAAATGCAGATTGATAATGAAATGATTTCTGCATTTTAAAAGGGGGATTTTTTACACTGTTTCTTTCTATCCAAAGAAACTATTTTTTTCCTTTAAAAAATTATAATACAGCCATGCTCCTTGTAAATTACTTCTCTGAAGTGTCCTCCCAGAGGATAAGTGTACTTTTTCAAGAATGTTATGATTCTTTATGATGATTGGCATGAACCGTACTTGAAGCATTTGTTGTATAGTCAACTTCTTAATGTGCAATTACAGAGATACTTTCCAAGTTGTTTTGGACATTAGGTGGCTGATTGTGTGATTTTAGTTGTGTTTTGATTTTTAACTTTACAGGTAAAAGGGAAAGGCAATGTTTGTATGAAATGCTTGCAAAAATTCAAAACTCATTTACATTTTCTAATTACTAATCCGCATATTCTCCCTAAACCAGAAATTTATGTGGTTTAGCTAATATAGCTCTGTAGTTTAACTAGATCATGCATATGTAGTTTGGGCTATTTTTATTTTTATAACTAATTTATATGGCAAAATCTATGATTTGGAAATATGAATTATTTTTTTGTTCCTTAAATTACTAACCAAGAAACTAAGATAAGAAATGACCAAAAAAGCAAAAATCAGAAGGTCAGGTATTATAATGATAGACATTAGATATGAAAATTAGATAATAGTGTAGTGGTCTTTGGAATACCATAAAAGTCTAAGTTTGTGGATTGATAAAATTTAGAAAAACTTTCCAATCTGTTTCTCATCCAGATACCAAAATTAGTTTCCCATAAAATTCTGATGGAGTAAGAGTCACGTTGGTGTTTTTGAAATGGTACTCTTGCTGTTGCCATCTCATCTTTAAACAGAAGGAATAAATCTCCCTTCGGTTAACCTCAAGGAGTTAGACTATTTCTCTTCAAGTCCCCCACTCAGATCTGCCACATTTGTATACACTCAGCTTTGAAACCTGTTAAATTTTTTGACACGTATACATTAACAGTGGCTTTGGTTTTTTTAAGCACAAAGGAGAAATGTCAGGGTTTAATTTCTTTGGGGTTTCTGTGTGTGTGTGTGTGTGTGTGTGTGTGTGTGTGTCTGTGTATAAATATATAAATAGGTGTTTCAAATAAAATTAATTGGGTAAATGTGAGTATGGTTTGAACCCGCCAGAGTATGACAAACTGTCTTTAAATTTCTCCCGTGATTTGAGGGGGAAATTGTATAGAACTCCCCCTGCCTTATAAATTAGCATTTGCTTCAGTTTTGCAGCAGAAAATATTTGAAAGGATATACTCGGCTATATTCCTTAGAACATACCAGTCACAAGCAACAAAATGTTTGCAGCTATTTTGTCTCTGCCATGACCTGCCCTTCTTTTTATGTAGACACATAGGTCTGTCCATCGACACTTGCATACTGTCAGAGCAGGAAGGAACAAAAACTACAGATCAGGAGACAAGAACCTGAGGAAACAAGCCTCATAAGAGAATGTCTGAAACATTTTTAAATTGCTAAGCAAATCTCTGAATAACTACTCACCTTTGTGTGGAGAGGGCCATAAAGTGGGTTTTCTTCCATTAAAAAGTGTTTTCCACAAAAAGTTCTTGCTTATATCTTGTACAAAACCAACTAATCATTACAAGATTAGGCCTGCCTCACATCCCATTTCCCATTTCAAGCCCTGCAAATGTGCTTAACACCTGTTTTAGAGAGACTTTAACCCTACATGTTTTAACTGTGTAATGGGAGTTGGGCGTTCAGTGTTGAAGATGGTCATTGTCTGTGTTTGGTGGCTTGTGTTCACTTTTCTCACTGTGGAAATGATCAACTCTGGAGTAATTTGCTGTATTCCTTTCCACCCTTAGCGTTTTATGTACTAATGCTGTGTACTGCTCCTATATTTATATATGTGTGTGTATATATATATATATATATACACACACATACACACACACACATATACATATGTTATCAAAGTGATCTTGCTTTGGACTGTGCTCTGAAACTTTTGACTATGATGTAGAGACTGCCACAGCTGCAGTGAATGCTGAGGTATGGATTCCTGTGGTTCAGGTCAGTCTTGGGCTGGAAGTCTACATCTTTTGACCTCTTCTGTTTTATATGATGCTTTTTATCATGTGGGCACTGCCATTCCTGAATATTCCTTGTAAACATTGAAGAAGTCAATTTAAAAGGAATACAAAGCCACCATTGTCTGCAAATTGTAAATATGTATTTCGGCACTTGTACTCCAGTATTCTGAAAACGGTAATGATGGAAATGCTGACAGACCTTTAATGGTGGCCAGCGCTACCATGCAGTGCAAAAATAAATTAAGAAAAAAATGTATTCTCAAGATTAACAGTGCAAGGCCAGTACGTTTTATAAACCTGTCAGTATCTCTTTAATGGAGTGTGCATGTGTAGTTATGTTGAAAGATAAACTGTGTATGTGTGTGTGCATTCTTTTATGTGAACTACAAGGCACACATAAGATGTATTTCCTTTCTCTGAAAACCATGTTGAAATGAAGGTACAGATTGACAGAAATAGGTTTTTTACTTAAATCCATACTAACCTATTCTGGCTTCATTTTTTCTCTTAGACAGCAGGGTATAGTGTTACTCATTTGACCAGTTTGGCTTGCTTTTACACACAGGAGAAATAAGCCCTCGGCTGCTTCTCACAAAGTGTGGCTTCCTACAGAAAAAGGGCGTGCTGGGGTGTGTGGAGGAGACGGGACTGTGTGCCTCAAACCTCAAGCTGACTGCGTACCATGTCCCTGCTCCTTTCATTGCTGGGTTCCCCAAACCAGGAGCATTTTCTGTGTCTCAGACCGGTATTTTTGGAGAGCTCTGAACACATTGAGCAAGAAATGGTGAGACACATTCTTGGAATGAACTGGGTTATTTGTGCATGATACTTTCTCACCTGTTCCTTTGGAAGGTTTTGCTCATTAACTAAGCAATGTGCTACAGCTAGGCAGTTGATCTTACAAAAGGCCAATGTTTACTTCCGTACCAGGAAATGCTGCCTTGATTAGAAAGGGAGGAGAAAGAGGATGACAACAAGGAGAATAAAGTCTTGAGTTTGGCAGACAACCAAGGAATCGGATGTGATACTCCACTTAGTAGCAAAGAGGCTTGCATTATTTGAGAAATCCTTTCCCTTCACTCCTGCTAACAAGTCCCTTCGGGAGTGACAGTGGGCTGCCTCACCCACTAGCAGCTGTCCCAGAGGGGCTGGAGTGGTAGTAACACCTTCTGGTGACCACACTTGAATTGCACTGACCCCTTTGCTTGTTTCAGCAGAGATGTTTGCTGGTTTATTGGAAATCATCGCCTTGCACCGTCTCCACTGTGGGGAGCAGTCCAGGTGAGCATCGGGCCCTCTCACTGGCAGTGCACTCAGTGCAGTGGTCTTTCGCAGGCATCCATTGCACTGTCTCGGGGCAGGGTCCCCCCTTGGTTATGCAGGGAGACCCAGAGCAGTTGCAGATCAAGACCCAGTACCCAGAACTTCCCAGTTGCAGCTTCAGAGACAAACTGTCCCAAGCTGTGGCTCTTGTTTCTTTCCGATTAGTAGAGCAGCTGTGGGTATTCTGTTGGTTTCCTTGGCCAGAGCGCCACCCAAATAGATAAAACCAAGCACATTTCAATGTTTCTGTTTTCTCTGCCAGGTAATAGTACCCACACCTTCCTGTTTATGTGGTCCCTTTCTTTAAAGGCATTTCCAGTCTTCTGCAAAGGTTGTTAGGTTGCCCTTGGCGCTCAGCTTCACCTCTCAGTCTTAATCTCTCCTTAATTAAGGAAAGGTAGCCAGTATGATTCCCGGGAGCTGGCTAGGCAAATACAAGGCACAAACTAAAATCATGCCGGTAATTATAACTGGGCCCTATAGGCTATTGAATAAATGTCAGCAGAAACAGCCCTGAATGGGAGGCTCCTAGAGTTCACTTCTGCAGTACGGAGCGACTGGGCCGGGCGGTCTGCGGAGTGGCTGCCTTTGAGCGCAGGAGACAGCAGGACAGTTCCCACAAAGCCATTTGCTCATTGCCCCTCACAGTCACGTCTCCATGTGTCCCCCCCACCACCGGGCTCTGCAGTTTCAGAAGGGTAGAAAGGATAAATCCAGGCCATTAAAAGAAAATAAAGTATTGAAAAGATAAAACAAATGAGTCGCTCTAAAAGGGTGGTCTGTGCAAGCAATAAGGTTGAAGCCCGACGCCGATTTCCTGGCCAGCGTCGTTCCTCGCACATGTGGTTTGTGTATCGGCTGGGTGGGTGGTCTGGGAGGAGTGCCGAGCTCAGCAAGCCGGCTTGGTTTCTGAGCAGCGGAGGGAGGCTTTGGGACAAGCTCCGCCTGTGGCATCTGCAATCCTGGGACATAAAGAGGCTTTCCTGCTTTGTTGCCAAGGGAGAGCTTTATCTTGGCGAATTCACTTTAGTGTGTGTCTGTGTTGTGCACAGAAACCCTCAGAGGGGAGGAGCGTGGCTGTGGGATGTGTCTGAGCCCCTGCGTGGAGGTGGGATTGGCACGAGTGTGAAAGCCCTCTACTTGTTCTGGGTCCCTGGTCCTAGGCACCTACAGATGTCTTCTTAGATAACACCTCAGTGCAGCAGGAGAGGGAACAGCATGAGACTGCAGACACATTTGTATCTAGAAGCCAAAGGGAGGTGGCCGCCTCCCCTCCCCCCGGAGTACCTGTGTCAGGCTGAAGTTGTTCTGGTGGAGCTGGAGACTTGCTCAGGAACCCTCACCTGGAAAACACTTCGGACAGACGTGCGTCAGGCCAGCTCAGATATGATCAGGTCCTTCCCAACTGTCCCTTTGAACTCGGGTGTTATGGTTTTTCATTTTAACTCGACTGCTGAGAGTAGAGAGGCGTAGATCACTGCTTCCCAAACTGTATCTGGTTATTTTCAGGTGAGGGCCTGTCTATGGCCAGTTTTTCAGGGCCTGGAAGAATCCCAGACAAACTGCGCTCCTGCTGTTTATCACGGGAAAATGTGGGAGCATTTTGTGGAACACCACGTGGATATTTCATGAGGAAAAAAGGTTTTGTGTTTAAATAAGTTTGGAAAAACTGCCTGGTCTGTGACTTTTTGGGAAACGGTGGTGTACTAATCCATTAGGTCCCCAGGGAGCCATGTATTTTGGCAGCCGCTGAACTTGTTGACTTGAATGCAGTGTTTCCAAAATTGTGTATACCACAATTTATATAGGTTAATAATAGATGTTTTGATCTTAAAAATTCCTTAGAATGGTTTTATAGTATATTTATTTTTTTTAAGGTTTACAGCATAGCTTGGAATGGTCAAGGTTCACAGAAGGACAATACAGCTGATATCCTCAGGAGAAGTTTTCTGGTTTAGGTGAC